TTCAATGACGAGCATTGGAGTAATGTATCACGCCAGTCTGTGTATTGAACTTCCGGTATCACTATGTACTCCGCTGACCTTTGAAATCGAGGACTTTTTGGGCCTCTATCAACGCCCGTGATGTAGCAAGACCCCCGTTATATTGATCAAACACTAAATGCATCTATCATGGCCGCCTATTTCAAGTTTTTACTTGCTGTAAAATTAGATGAAACCTAAAAGGCATCATGGGATATACTTGTGCTTATGTCCGCTCTTTTTTTTTTTTGTTTCAACATAAATGTTCCCGTGGCAATCTGAAGTAAAGGAATTCTACTTTTTTCAAACAGGTAAGCAAACAAACAAGCAAAAAAAGAAAAGCAAGGAAAACGKGAAAAAAACAAAAATTGATAAAATAGAAGCAGTCACTCCTTGGGATTCGAACCCGTGACTATAAAATCGAAAAAAWGTTGGGACGATTCCCCCGAGACATTCTGTGAAGCTGAGGCGKCGAATCGATTTACATTCCGGTTAGAGATTTCGGCTCTTCCATGCTATCCCGATAATTGGTCCTAACTTCGCGCTAACTAAAAAGCCAGTGAGGGAGAAGCTATCCGGCCCCTAGACACTGATGGATAACCCCTTGCACTAACTAGGCAACTATCGAAAGTATAATGTCAAATTGGGGTAGTCTATTCGGTGAAAGTGTCAAGTGGTCTATTATTATGTAAATGAGTGTGGTCCAGTGGCGCACATCGTTAAGGCGCTGTGTTCAAATCAAATGGCCGAAGAGATAGCTGGTTCGAATCCCTAGATCGCACATGAACATGCCTAATATTTTTTGCATTCTCAAGTTTTGTTTATTTTTATCTTCTTTTTTCGTTTATTTGTCTTGTTTCTATTGTCATCATTCGTACTTTTAAGCATGAATATATATAGTTTTTTTTTCGAAACTTCATCTGTTGTAGGCTGGAAGATGGGCTTAATTGGGCTTCCTGTGGCATTCGTGATCAGCGGTATTCAATCTCACTCAAAATGGCGACATGTAAAAGTTGACAACATGTCCAACAGTAAGAACTCTATTTCTAATTTTCTTTTTTTGATACTATAAACATGACAAGACCAGCATGGTGGCCATTTTGCCGGGTTTTGATGGAGAAAAGATCTTGGAAAGTTAGCAGTACAGHGATTATTTCGATGGTTGGACTGGCAAGTCGATTTTGGATAAGTAAGCGATGTTGTGTTACCGTTATGATTTGAAGAGAACTCTAGACTTTTCTTTTTCTTCAGGAGTAGTGTATAACCATATAGATAAAGACACAGACATACTGTTTATTTCAAGTCKTAGTGCGATGATTGACGTCTTGTCATTTCTGTTACAGAGTGGTTAAACCGGGTTAATTGCCACAATCTAGGAGAATTACAAAAGTCTACACAGAAACGGCCTGAAGGTGTCCCATTAGTKACTGTATCCAACCATCAATCATGTTTAGATGACCCTCTGATGTGGGGTATGTAAAGGATACGATTGAATGAAAAAATGGTGGGAAACTTAGGAGAGATGGGAAATGAATGAAATCATATTTCTGAATATCACTGGAAATTCTTTTGTGTCATTGTTCCATTTTTTATTCCAGACTATCAGCTTTTGAATGTTGTTATYCATTGAATTTGATCTTGATTATTGTTATGAGACTCTTTATCCCAGTTGATCATAAAACGTCTCAACTAAACAACTTGCATTAAACAGGAATATTGAATATGGGACTCTTGCTCAGTCATCACAAGCAAAGATGGTGAGTTATTTTTGTTAGACATTTTGAATATCAATATAATGACAATGCCATACAATGTTTCTCTTTGTAGGTCACTAGCAGCTAAGGAACTGCTATTTACAAATTCTCTTTATTCCTACTTTTTCAGCAGAGGAAAGGTATCATTATTAATCTGTGATATACACCTAATTGAAAAAACGTATCGTGTTCGAAAAGGTCACATCATAGAAGCTAAGACCGAAAGGGATTTTGAGTACCACTAAATTGGGATTACATTTGCATATACGGCGTATAAGTGCACCGTAAATCAAGTAGCTAGAGCTAGTAAGATTAACAGCATGATAGTATTTTATGATGGAGAGCTGTTTGTATGAAATTAGCCAAATTGTTTGTCTTCCCAAGTACCCTTTCGGTCTTAGCTTCTACGATTTGACCTTTTTGGACCCGACAAAGTTTTTTCAATTAGGTGTATACTCATAAATTTTTTCACTTCATTGGTGTATTGTGGTTATTACTGTATTATTTCATTTTGCAGACTCATTTGATAACTCATTGTTCTTAATATTGATTTTCAGACAATACCAGTTGTACGAGGTGGGGTATTCATGTACATGCATATATAGCTATATAATGCATTCGTAGTAGTTTTTGAACAGCAGACTACTCTCATTTTACAGGTGATGGTGTTTATCAAATTGGAGTTGACTTTGCCTTAGAACAGCTTAATCAAGGACAGTGGGTCCATGTCTTTCCTGAAGGTAACAACTACAAAACATTGATACCACTGGAATTATCTTGGAATAAAGCTCTTATATTATTATTGTGGCATATTCTTAGGGAAAGTAATTGAAGATGGTTCATTAGTACGACTGAAATGGGGTATGTATATCAATATCYTRTGGTGATCAAAAACAAAATAATGTACTAATTCATGATATGTCAACTYGTTTKTAGGTGTAGGACGCYTGATAGCTGAATCAAACATTACTCCTGTAGTCCTGCCATTATGGCATGTTGGTATGAATTKAACACATGATTTATATGAGCCTTATTGTAGATTTAAAACCTTTTCTATTAATTTTCAGGTATGGATGATATTTTACCCAACAAGACTCCATACATTCCTCAAATAATGAAAGTAAGTAAGCATAAGAACAACGTTTATCAGTCAGCATTACTTGAAAGACCCTTGTATTACTGTATTATTGMATAAATGTCATCATATTGACCAGTTTTAATGTTTCTTTTTTCACAGAAAGTAACTATTCTTGTTGGTGAACCAATGAAATTTGAYGATATTTTAAAGGATTACCATAGAAGGAAAAGTAATGCAGTAAGTTGTTCATTCATAATTTTAATTTAATATGTTAAAAAGCTTTAAATAAATTATTTTTCCTTAGATGGAAACACGCAAAAGAATAACAGATAAGATTGAAAATCGCTTCAAAGAATTGAAAAAAGAGGCTGATTTTTTACATAGCAAATGGAGTTGACATGAATTTGATGTTTTTTTGTAAGTAAATGACATTGTAAATAATAGTCAGACAAGCAATTTAACCTATATAATTATAAAACTTAGAGTGATCTCGCATTATCTTTGAAGAACATCAAGGTGGCTAAGTAGTAGACTTTGTACTGTTTGTCCTACAAATATCTTTATAGCATGTAACATTTGTCTGAGAATATTATCAATACAGAAATTCAGTACAGAAAAACAAACAGACATCAATATTGAACAAAGTTTTATTTCAAATCCTTCAATGTACACATTTACAGCTGCAATATTTACATAGTTTTAGTTCTCTACAGCTACATGTAATCCAACATAATGATATAATGAAAATTCACAAAAYGCTTTTGGTCAATAAAACCTTTGATACATTTTCATGCTACTCATCAACACTGGGTTCTTGTACCAAAAGTTCTCTGTTTTCATATGTCCAGAAACCATTCAGATCTATTAATATACTGGTTACTGTTTCACCTTGTGAGCTGTGAATTAATAATGATAATTTATCAAATGAAAGCAATTTAACTTCAATATTTAGAGTTGATTTTGTTGTTTAAAAATGGACGKGAGGAATTTGTGTCAAAATCATTTTCTCCATTTCAGWTTTTGTGGGCTGTATTGCCTTGTAAAGCTTCTTACTTAAAGGTTTCTTACTCAAACAAAATCTTCTCTATGGTAATAACCTTGACATAGTATTACRGTTGTCATATCTACCTGTTAAGAAGATCTTGTAAAGTAATTCTGTATGGGTCTTTTGGTTTTACCATGTCAAAGATTTCATCCTGTCAAGTTTAAATTATACAATTCTAAGATATCTTTGAGTGTTACAGAGAATTTCATTAGAAGCCAGCAACCAGTGAAATCAAGCATCTWTTTTGACCTTTCRGCCRGCTGCTTYTGCCAAATTAAAGTTGTAAAACTTAGACCTTATGATTCATATAAATTACAGTTACTTTTAGGAAAAAAGAATAATGAAACCCCTGATATTGAATTGTGTAAGAAACCTATCAGTGTCAACTTGTCAAATTTATAGCTTCCATAATAAAATGTTTTATGATGATATGTGTAGTTTGAATCTTGCGGGTTGACAACTGCAGTAGTATGAGAATTTTACCTTTATATCAAGAAATTTAACAGGTTCATGACCATGTTTAACCATGTCTTCTTGTATGGCCTGTTAATGAACCAAAAATGTAAAATTTTTATTGATTGCAGATGGTGATTTCCTTGTAGTAATATTATWTATTGAGAAGCATATTTTGATAAAATAACTCACTCTAAAGAAGAAGTTGAAAGCAAAGATGTTCAAGTAGCCAACCCCCTRAAATTGAAAACATATCAATTTACTGTTTTGGTTCTAGGAAAGGACATTGGAAGACAACACAGGCACTTACTTGAACATCAAGTATCCTGAATAAATACTGAAGTGCCTGAAAAAAAATTGTATTTTGCAATTTAGTAGAGGAAAAAAATAGGAAATGTTTGTGTCTGTGCAGTTTTGAATCGGTGCCTTTTTATTGTTTGTCTGTCTACCTGTGGTTCTTTTCTGTTTTCTAAAGCGAGAACAAAGTCCAGATATGTCTTATAGTCCTGTGAAAAAAGATAAAGTATATTATAATCTTGAACATTGCCAATACTCAATGTGCATCAATTCTGTTTCTATTTTCTTGTCATTTTTGCAATCTTTCTCATTTTGTTTAACAAAGGCCCAAATATTTTGTATTGTGGGCACAGAGGATATTTTCACTTTCATTGTTTTTACATTATCTTTCCTGTTGGAGGAATGCTAGGTTTCATATATCATCTGAAATCCAGCTCTCTGTGAATAGAKGTATCCCTAAGTCTTTTTGTATCCGAATTGAACTCACCATTTCACCATCATAAGTTAGGCATTCCTGGAATACTCTGTCTATGAAGACTTTAGTTAATGTTCCAGATCCATACCTGTAAAATATTGAAAACAATTATTTTTCATTCTAAGTATTTTTAACTTTGTTTGTTACTTTACCAACCTTGCCARTTCTTCCTTACTTAGCATTCCATTGTGATCAGTATCCAAGTTGAGATATTGACCTAGGATAAAGATATTTTGTTAGAATAAAGCCATTTTTCATTTCGGCCTTCCTGTGCTCTCCTCACWTGTTATAGGCACAAKAAGTCCARATTGTAAAAAGTCAGCAGGAAAGCAAMAACAACAACACCAACAATRTTTTACCATATACTCTGAGTGCTGAAGGTGCAGAAAACCAATTTGCATCTTGCTGCTCCTTGGATAGATCTTCATCTCGAAGCTGTGCAACAACAACAAAAAATAAACTCCTAAATTACAATATTGATGTACATGTTGTAGTACAATCTGTCTTTTGGTGMAATTTAGTTTGGAACCAGTACAATTTGTTTTGAACCAGTACAAATAATRAAMAATAATATGTACATATAATRTGTCTGGGAGAGAGATAYTACCTCAAGAAGATCATCCAAAAAGCTGCATGCAAGAATGTCTTGTATCTTTATTTTTCCTGATATGATCAATATGCAAATTAATTGATATTTGGAAGTCTGTGATAATTCAGATAACCTTATTGGCATGTGTAATCCTCTTGAATTCATGCTTTGAAATTAAACCTACCAGTTCTAAGAGGATCAAGAAAGAAGAAGAATTTCCTGACTGCTGTGCAGACATAAAATGAGTAGAACGACTTCTCTAACCCATCAAGCTGTAATATAAAGAATTTACATGTAAAATAACTCCAACGTATACAAAATTGAACATTATAAATATCAAGCAAACAATAAGAGACATTTAGTATATTGCAATCATTGACCAGTACATGTACCTGAGGTAAAGTAGGTATCAGTTCCAATATATAATTTTCTAAATCCTGTGAAATACATGACAAGAGACCAGTTTAGTCCAAAAACTAAGAAATTTTTATGTGTGTACATCCAATGCAAAAATCCATATACCTTTACTATATTAATATAATATATTCATGAATATTATAGTATTTACTGCAATACACACAGAAAACCTTGAACTTACAGACTCTTTAAGGTAACCTTGTCCAGCAACATCATAYAGACTTAATCCAATTCTTGTTTGGTGAAGCCAAACTATAAGAAAAATATTTGCCATTGAAACATTCAACACAAACAACTAAGCTAAATGTACTTACCTTTTCTCATTACGTAATTGAAAAACTGCATTATTGAAATCCTGAAATTGAAAATGAAATTAATGGTACCATTCTTGTGCGAGAATTAGAAACCCTAGCATCATCTTCAGGAAACCCTCTTCTTTGGGCTTCCTTTGTAAAAGTCACATATAGTATATATGACCATCAGAGACAAGAGATGTTTCCTCTTGCACTTCTTGCCCTGATACCCCAATTGTAGCAAAGGAAACCCAAAACAGAGAGAATCAAAGCAATGTCTACTAGACTAAGATATCCCGATATGGAGTTTTACCTTCCAAATGGATCTTTTTGATAAAGTTTACTAAAAACAGTGGCTGTAAAGAAAGGCCTGAAAAAAATCATTCAAATATAAATGAGCCAAATGGTACCTCACATGTTTTTTTGACACTGAATAAGATTATTAAATACCTGCATTTAGAACTAGCTTGAGAGGCTACTTTAAGGAAATCTTCATAATTTATCATCTATAACAATTATGATATAATACARAGATTAATTGCAAGATATATTACATGTACGTTTTCACAAGATTTGCATTCACCTGCTCATYTGCAACAACTGGTGGAGTGTGATGTTTATCTAATAAGAACCACAGATTCTGAAAACAATATGAATAATCAYAATCAATAAACTATAAAGTGCACACATCAAGCATATCTGCATTACCTGTAACTCATCATTATCTAATAATTCTCTACTCTTTCGCTGTAAGAACACAGCTCTTGATTCCTCTCTTAGTTTTTGCTGCAGGACTTCGTCTTCTGATGGTAGCTACAGTAAAATCAACAAAGACTTTATAATAGAGATATCATTCATAAAAGAGCTATGATGATATTGGTAATCAATAATAATAATAACATAATCATATTCACACATATCAAGTCTTATAATACCTTATAATAGAACTTAGGTATCGTATTGAATGTTGCATCACTGGCTTTTGACTGGTCTTTCCATTCTGCATAATACTTCGTAAATAGTTCTGTTTCTGTTAAGTTTGCTTCAATTTCACAATCTTCAACTTTCCCCTCAGCTACATCATAAGACATTTTTATTGGAAAAAGACAAGAACAGCATACGTTATATTTCTTTGATTATTATAGCTTATAACTTGTATAATGTGATATTAGAATGTCTAAATAATATAAAGAATCGCACCTTTATCTTTCTTTTTCCTTTCCACATATCTTCTCAAAGTATCAGACCATGACATATTGATTGCTATAATACATCCAACAAAGCGTTTACCGAAAATAATCGTGAAAATGTTTTTCAATCCAAAAATGCCGCCATGCTTTGTGTTTATTTTGAGCTATTACAGATTACATACTCAGGTCGATTAGCATTATGGGAACAGGAAGCCTACTTCAAAATTCTTTATCATTATTTCTTATTTACTTACAACAAAGTGCCACTCAAAAAAACCTTTATGCAAGTTAAGATAGTCAGTTCCAATTATTGTTTTATATTCAATTATTTTCCCTTTGTGGTTTTACCACAAATTCGGKATTTGATTTTACGTCGGGTTTCCTGTGGTAGCGTGTACCAAAGAGTCATGGGTAAAAGCTGATTCCAGCAAGAGTTGACTTTTGTTCAAAACATGTCAACGTGGCAAACTAAATTCTTGATTCTTGCTCYTTGATCTTGCTCTGCTTCACTAACYTCTYAACATGATGTATAACTTGGCTTTGAATGTGAAATCTGCTATTTTTATCCTGCTTGTTTCAACATGCACGTGTGAGGAATCCCAGACAGAGACAACAAATGTTGAAGACACCACAACTTCTCCAGTTKCTCAAGGTGGCTTTTGGTTAACCAATTTGCTATGGAACGTCCTGGGATATGCTACTTTGTGCGTTCCCTTTGCTATAATGATAAGAATGGTTAAAAACTCGAATTTCAAGGAAAGAGGAGGTAGGTTTTTTTTTGTTCATTAATGAAACTTGACCAAAACTGTCTGCATACATATGCTAATTGATTGGTTTTCTGTTGAGCTTCTACATTATTATATCTCAATGTGTTAAAATTGAGTTTGTRTTGAGTAGTTCCACATTTAGACTGATTTATAGATACAGAGGATGGCTGTTTTAATTAAATTATGTAGCAAAATTGAGAATACAGTATACATGTACARCAGCAATGCTTTCAATTTGAAATGAAGTAAGGTTTGAAATATAAACTTAAAGTATGGAAGTATATGTACAAAATGTTATATGTTTCGTGTAAGTTAGTATTATGATATATGAGATTTGGAGAAATCATGAGTTTTCTATAGMAACCATAAATGTTCCTTATAACATGTATATAATTGATTAAAATTGTATTGAGCCATAGTAACCAGTTATCATKACATGCATGCATAAATAATATTATACCATATGACTAATGTAACTTGACAAATTTGGACTGTTTAAATGGCTTAGTCACCTCTCCTCTTTTTATTTGGACCAATCWCATGCAATTCTTAAACAATAGAACTATTTCAAAACAAAAACAAATGGCTTCAAAGGATCTTGAAGGGCAGTTTTATATAAAATGTAATTTTCTTTTCCTGTCTTTGTTTAATGTYAACATGGTTGCAWTCTTTTTCAGCTGATGGATGCCTTTCAAAAGCTGTTCATTATTTTGTTTTTGGTTCACCTGAGGATCCACTCAGAAAAGCAGAAGAAGGAGGCAAGACAGAGAACGTTGTCATAGAAACATCCTTTAAGAAAAAGGCAATACAATTGATTGTATGTGTAGTGGGTTTACAGTGTTCGTATGTGTTATGGGGGGTGCTACAAGAGCGAATCATGACAAGGACATACATAAAAACACTCCCTGATGGCTCAACCACACAAGCCAAGTTCAAGAATTCTCAATTCCTGGTTTTCATGAATCGTATACTTGCAATGTGTTTTGCTGGTGTATATGTACTTGGAACAAGACAACCAAGCCACAAGGCACCTATTTACAAATATTCCTACTCCTCTTTGTCAAACATTCTCAGTAGCTGGTGTCAGTAYGAGGCCCTAAAGTTTGTCAGCTTTCCAACTCAAGTACTTGTCAAAGCCTCCAAAATAATCCCAGTGATGTTAATGGGGAAGCTTGTGTCCAAGAAGACTTATCCATACTATGAATACTTCACTGCTGTCATGCTGTCGGCTGGGGTTAGCTTCTTCTTGCTTTCAGCTGGAACACCAAAAAAGTCTGCTGTAGAGACGACACTGTCTGGTGCAATCATAATGCTTGGTTATATGATGTTTGATAGCTTCACATCAAACTGGCAGTCTGAAATGTTTAAAACATACAAAATGTCTTCTGTACAGATGATGTTTGGAGCCAACTTTTTCTCCAGTTTGTTCACATTCTGGTCATTGGCTCAAACTGGAACTCTGTTCTCTTCATTGCTCTTTGYTTACAGCCAACCAACGTTTGCTTTTCATATATGTGTTTTGTCGCTCTGTTCAGCAACCGGTCAGTTGTTTATCTTTTATACAATACAAACATTTGGTCCTGTCATCTTCACTATGATTATGACAACCCGAATGATGATAAGCATTGTGCTATCATGTATTCTCTACCAACATCCACTTTCTGCTCAGGCTATTTTTGGAGTCATAGTAGTATTTACTGCTTTGTTTTTGCGTATTTATGCACGTTATCGCACTAAAAATGCTGGCAAGTAGTAATATTCATTAACTTAGACAATTTAATCTAGCCAACCATTTTTGCCTTTGCTTTTTAAAGTGCATTTTTTCAAATATTTAGCGATAGAGATATATACTGTAAACCAAAGTTATATATAATGTCATRATATATGGTATAAAATATCAAATATTATTTAGATCTTTTTAGCCCTAGCTGGCTGATGTCCAGGTGGATWCATTGTAGGGAAAATATTTTTATACTTTTCCAAGCAACTTTACTTTACGTAATATTTTTGCRAAATTGCCAATATTGAACCCAGCCTCTTCATAGCTAAATGTCAGAATTCTGCTGATGCTTGAAAGAATCTGGGGGAACCAAACCAAAAAATTTGTGATTTTTTCTGTCACAAATTAGTATGTATAAATTAGGTAAATTTTGTTTCTCAATTAAGATCATGGATAAAATGATCAAAAAGGAAGAGGTTAAGCAAAGAATTGAAATTTATAAAATTAAGCTTGAAAGCACTCTCTACTTAAAAACAACATGCACTCAAGACTTTTTATTCAATGACAAAAGGAGAAATAGCAAAATCCCCCAGACTCTTGCACATGTTCATGTTCCACTGGATGGCAAAACACTCACTCTGTAAACTTTGACTTGTCTTTATTTTCTGTATTTTGAACAGAATTGTATATAYGTATACTACATGTACTGTGATATTGGATGTAGTTTTACAGAAAAAAGATGGATGAACAGAGAATATTAATATAAAAGGCATTTAAAATGTTAAGTAGGGAAAGTATGGAATTTAATAGTAAAAATAAAAAACTTGTTAGTCATGTTATAGTGACTTAATTAGTTAGAAATTGACGTTTTATGTAATATGTACAATATGAACAGGCAATCTGTATGAGGTTTTAAAACAAACCTCATGCAGATCACACACAAATTTATAAGTATGTGTTATTTCTATCTGACATTAATGGAACACTATACTGTTGAGCAGATTTTATATGACTGCAGTAAAAATGTTCATGTGCCCTGCCAATGTGATGTATTCTTTTGAATCATTATTTTCATTTGGAATCACAATCATGCAAGGCTCTGTGCCTTTTCATTCCATGCTGTGATATATGCTCCTGGATGTGACTATAAATTTTTTGGAAATTTTATTTTTGATTTTTAACCAGTCTATTTTTTTGTACTTCATAGTTCTTCCTTGCATTGCTATTATTGATAAATCCACAATCTTGGATCTCTCTACTTGACAAAAAATAAATAAATAATATAGTATTTTTTAGGGTTTCCATCTTATCAATGATGACAGTGGTACTTGGAAAGGTCGTTGAAATGAAAGCAAAATATCCACATACACCACAAAAGAATTGAAATACAATTGTTCAAATTGTTGTCCTGGGAATTTAGGAACRATGTGTTTTGCAATAACTTTCTTTGACGTGAAAATTAGTCAACCTTGAAATATTTGTATGTGAGGAACTGCTAACCTGTGTACATCCGTTTCTCACCCCTCCAAAAAAATCGGGGAGAGAACATCGTTCTGCTGGGTTTTTTTAATTATCATTGTGTGTAAATTTTTTTCTGTATAACCAGTGTTGATTGCATAACTAGTTTTAATGTTTTACATTGTAATACAAATGAAGTAGGCAAAACTATCTTTTAAGAAGTTTTGTAACAACAGTAAGGGTGCTGTACTGACATCATAATAAAAAGTTTGCAATCTTAATTAGGCCCTATAGGATATATATGGCTGAATGCCGTTTGGTTCTTGGTTCTGTGAAATCTTTTCAATGATCATACAAAGTACAAAATACCTTGAGTTGTCAGATAATTGTATTTTCTAAAATGCAAAGTGTTTCAATTTTTGTTTGACCCAAAAATAGATTTTCAAACATCAGTTGAAACTAAGTGTCAACAGAAATCTCTCGGTACAAAGTTTATAAGTAAGACTTTGACCTTTGATCAAAACTCARATGGCTGTGAAATTCAGGGGGTCGTTTAGCGATGTTAGAGAAGCAGGGGGAATGGGTTCTTTTGTCAGTATGAAAGACAAAATTGCAAAATTATTACTTTCGTACTGACATTCTGTTTCGCTGCTAAGAAATCGAGTATTTGGTGAGTTGGGAATAAAATTGAGCAAACGAAAAATGTCGTTTTTCCCTTTCAAGACTTCAAGTAATACCAATTTCATTTGGGGGGTGGGGTACCTGATAAAAGAGACCCCCCTGAAAATAACGTCAATAAAAGCTGGACGAGATCTTCCGTGAACGCAGGAGGATAAAMTTCYAAAATGGCTATCAACTGGGCTCCGGTAAAYATTCCGCTTGAAAGGCGATTTCAGACTTTAGCTGTGATGTTGATAGTTCATTCGTTTTTGTTTGGTCATATATTTGGGTGTCTACTGTTTCTTGTTTTACTTATTTTTCCTATCACTACCACCATCGCGCTCCTCTACTTTGGATGGACTTATATCTTGAATTATAATCTTCCGAGTCGCGGAGGAAGGCTTGTGCAGTGGTGTCGTAATCACAAAATGTGGAAATACTTCTGTGGCTTCTTTCCCATCGATTTGATCAAGACAGCTGATTTAGATCCCAACGATAACTATATCTTTGGTTATCATCCTCACGGTATAATGGGACTCGGAGCGATTGGCAATTTCTGTGGAAATGGCACCGGGTTTTCGACAAAATTCCCTGGAATCACTCCTCACTTACTGACTCTTGCTGGTAATTTGCGCTTCCCAGTAACAAGGGATTATATCATGTCATTTGGTGTTTGTACTGTCGAAAAGAGCAGCATTGAGTATATCTTGAAGAAGAAGGGATCAGGTCAGGCTGTTGTAATTGTAGTTGGAGGCGCTTCAGAATCATTGGACGCACATCCTGGAAACTACAGATTGACTCTGAAAAATAGGAAAGGTTTTGTGAAAATCGCACTACGAAACGGGTAGGAACCATTATGCTATTTTTTTAATTTTCAATTTTATTAATATTTTTGTATRTATTTACAATTGTTCATGATTCCATTAGCCTRCAGATAGAAAACTAACCGAGATAGCCCGAGGATTACAATACATAGTAAAACTACAATAGAGTTCTAATTAGATTATCTGTCTACTTAACACATTGTCCAGATAGTATGACTTAAGACCATTAATATCCAGACAATACACCATTCATTTCAGAGCTAATTTAGTACCAGTTTATTCATTTGGAGAAAATGATTTATACACTCAAGTTAAGAACCCCAGTGGATCACAGCTACGTCAATGGCAGACTAAAGTCAAGGATATTGTTGGCTTTGCACCTCCAATCTTCCATGGTCGTGGTATATTCCAATATACATTTGGAATATTACCTCACAGAAGGCCTGTMAATACTGTTGGTAAGCTATAGTCTACTTGTCATTGTAATCAATCAATCTACAGCTTGTGTTGCATGCAGATGAGGATGCATTTTATATGCGATGCATTTGTGTCTTTTATCTTAGAAACTTTGTAATATACTCTTTTTAATTTCCTTAATTTCTTATACCTCTTGTTTTTTATCCTGTATTTATGAATATTAATTACCATCAGCTGGTATAAACCTGAGTGCAGTTGAATGAAATTTGAATAATCATGGTTAACACATAAGATTTCCACATCTCTTTTTTTCTATTCACCCATTTATGCATATATCATTTATCATGCACCTTACTGCCACCTTATTTAAGTCTTGTATTTAACATATATTGTACACCTGTTTCTTTAGTCGGAGCTCCAATAAAAGTCAACAAAGTGGAAAATCCAAGTGATGAACAAATTGATMAATTTCATCAACTATATCTCAAGGGTCTTGAGAAGGTTTTTGAAGACCATAAGATCAAGTATGGTCTGTCGGAAGATATTCATCTCGAATTTGTTTAATAATTGTTTTGCATAAAAATTAATAGTATTTTCAATATTATGTCAAATTTTAACAAAGATAAAAAACACACTTATACACCAAAGATGTTGATATTCTGACTAYGTAAGAGTTATAATGATATACAGGAAAATAAAGATTTTTAATATAGCCTGAAGGTGTCAATGAACTTGATGACAAAAAAATACATAAAATGGAATAAATAAAAAAGAACAAGAAKCAAACACAATGATAGAAATGGCAGCAATATTTTTTATTTCCCATTTTCCCTCTTCAATTTTTTCTTTTCCCTTTTTCCTTTCCCTGCCTTTCTCACTTTCTTTACATTTTCTAAAGAAAAGACTTTTTACAGCACTCGCGGGATAAATTGCCATTTCTATTCATTTATTCATGTCATTGTTTCTTTGTTTATTTCTTTATTTCATCCATTTGCTCCACATTTTCATTTTATTTTAAGTGCCATCTGCCTTTTTTATTTATTCAATTGTTAAGTAATTTCATTTCTGCTTTCGGATTTCTTACTGTGATGCTTCCTTGCTTCCTTCCTTTTTTCTCAACCGTTGAAGTGCACACTGTATAATAATCACGTGCCTGTACCCTGGGGGCGTTCCGTTGGACTCGTTTGATGTTGAAAATCTTTACCCCTCCCTAGAAAACATAAGATATGACGTAAATGTCACCTAGAGTAACTAATTATTCAATCAACCAATCAGTAGTCGTTGTTTCCATCCGCCATGTCTAAATTTGGAAGGAAGCCATGCGAGTGTCAGCGACAAAAGTTCGTTCCCATCCCTACTCGGTCTCTTTTTGTACGTCTTCATCTAAGCGCGCTACAACAAGGAACGAGTCGAGGGTTTTTACCCTTTTTTTCAAAGTTTAACCGGACAAGTCGCCAAAATTCCACCTTTCAAGGATTTCGATATCCCTSCCCTTTTCCCTACCGGACTGGACCTGAAGTTTGAGCAAGAATCATTCAATCTGGCTCCAATATGCAACAACGATGCAATGGACGTGCTCGAGGATCTGTATGAAACGGGCGAATGGTCGGCAGCAAGTTCTCCTTGCTCCGAGCTGTTTGATGATATACCATCTCCTGCATCAAGCCTCGAGGATTCTTGCATAAGTGACTTCTCCATCGATCTCACAACTTATCTGGATCCAGCCGCACTAAGCACAAGCCCAGAGGACCTGTGCAAGTACCTACCCCATCACAATGAAGCACATCCAGTAGAAGTAGAGTCTTCGTGTAGATACCCACATGTAACCATTAAGTCAGAACCTAAAGATGCATACCCACAAAAACCGATCATGTCATTCAACAAACCACCAGCGGTTGTTAAGGAAAGCCAGCAGAAGAAACAATTGCCCTCTGCACAGTTGAAAGCTCCCTCATCGCGTACTTCACGAAAGCACAGCAACAACAAGCGGATGCCTGACAAGCACACCGAAGAGTACCGTCAGAAGCGTGAACGAAACAACATTGCAGTCCGCAAAAGCCGCTTCAAGACTAAACAAAAGTTTGTCGACACTCTGATGAAAGTCGAGGAGCTCACCGAGGAAAACGATCGGCTCCGTTCCAGGGTCGATCATCTTACTAAGGAGCTCAGTGCTCTCCGTGGCTTGTTTTCAAACMCATCTATCTTCAAGGATCAGGCATTGGCAAGGGCTTTATTGGCCCAAGGACTTGCATCTTCTCTTGGTCATTCTTCATGATGATCATGATCACAAAAACTCACAAAAAAAAACATGGACTGTGTCGTATAAAATATATAAAATCGAGGAAAAAAGTTGATTTTAGTCGCATCTAACTTGTAACAACAAGGGTTAGTATATGTGTAATAAATCTTCTTCAATAACTCAATTACTGTTGTTCGTTCTAATTTTGAATCTAATCGCTTAGCTTTAGAATAATGCTTCAACATGTCATGACCAGTAATATCCAGCTAGMACTAACATAACCTTGGAAATTATCTGACAGTTTACCAGAGAAGCTCTRTGGAAGGAACGCTGGAACGGTTTATCATAGGTCTTAATGTTGAAACATTTGCTAATTGCAATCATTGGGCTCGTACAATTTGGTCCTTGAAACTCGATGCACTAATATAATCGACAGTTTTAAGGTCATGACATAAAATAACTAACCACTAGAATGTGCTGTCATTGTACCTATAATCCTCACATCAGACATCCTGTCAATACTGATGCCAGATTAGGAGATAAAACTGTATTTTTGTTAAACAAAAATCAACAAGGGAAATGCAAGATTTTTTTTGTGATTTGATTAATTTTTTCGATAAGACTGTTTTTGTCTCAATTGGATTTCTAAATAATAATTTTATTATTTTTGTGTATTGCAACATGTATTGACGTTTTTTTTTTTTTCAACCATATCAGTTTACTATGTAAATTTTCACCAAGTTGTTTAGTTTCAGAATAGCTACCAATCACTCCGGTAATAAATTTTATTGCTGTCAATTGTTTTCAGTATGATTTGTTTAAACAGTTTGTGCTGTGTGTCAGTATAGTATATAAAAAGCAGATCTGATAGCATATAGATAGTCTACAAATGTTTATAAAAGGATTGAATTATAATCCAATAGCTCAATTGAATAGCTGAACAAATATTGTACAAATAGACAAATAAGATCTGTTCTGARAAAATTGCCAAAATGAAATTTTTCTTAAGTTTATTGCTACTGAGTTTATTCTAGTCGTTTGTAATTAAACCTGTTCAGGTGTCGTCTTGTATGGGAAGCTGTCTCTGGGCAACACTACATAATTTGATGCATAGTGAATGAAATACTACACRTATAAGCTTTCAAATTGTTTTAATKAAGGGTTTTTGTCAATGATTATTGTAAATACAAAGGAGGTGAAAAACTCTTTTAAACCATTCAAGTTTAAAGCATTTAATGTGAGATATCCTTTCAATCATCCCCGGGGGAAGTATTCTTCTGTCGCTCATTTCTGTGAGTCAGGAACAAGTGGCAGAAAATTACCAGTTGGCTCAGGAGGATGCAAAGATATTCAAACTTACAAAAAAGGTTGTGAATGGKCATGCAGTACCCCATAGATATTTCACAGTTRAAAGAAACTATATACATTGTTAGCAAAAACATATTCTGTCTGGCATTCACCAGACTGTGAAATGGTTACTATYGAGTGCCTGAAGCCAGGGTCAAACGAGCCAAGCCTAAGYGATGTGTTTCTTTKTTATCTCAAAACRACATCATGTTTGTTCCTTTTTACAAAGTTTTGTGTCGTAGTGTCACTGATATCTGAGTTTGGTTATGGTTGGGTGGCAATTTGACGCAGTTCATAAAGTTATGGAGGATAGTTTATGGTAAATCATCCAACCCCAAAGATGTGCATCTTGGCTATACATGTCCTAGCTTTATGATATTATACTGAACTTTCTTAAGTTTGAAAACAGTATTTTTATGAAGTTACTCCTCACCTCCTAGGTGAAGTCACTCCTAGGTGTAGAAAAATCACCCTAACCCTAACAAAGTCCTCAGTGACTCGAATTTTGCATGGTATTTTTAGTATATAATAATAATCAAGTGCTGTAGCCAAATAACCTTCATAAGGACACTACCATTATGATTTAATGTAAAGTCAAGTTATGGTCAGATACATCTTTGATAATTGTCTACTAAATGAATACTATTTTGATTAAAGTCAATCTTGAGCATATTTGTTTTTTTTAATGGAAGTCAACATAATGAAGATAAAGTTTGATTGAACACTCATTGTSTGAATTAATGGTTAGCAAGTCTAATTTACTGAAAGAAAATAGCAATGAACCAAAAATAGCTTCAGCCAAAAAACATCTCTATTGCACAATGTTCTATTAACTACTCTGTATGAAACAACTAAAATACCTTTTAYTGTCAACAATTATAATCAATTTGTGTTATTCATTTTGCTATGACTAAACCTTTGAGCAACAGGATATTTGGTTGATGGAATCTTCAAATTGAAAGTTGTAATTATCTAAAACCTCGACCCTTAGGAGTATTTGTTTTCTGTTTTGACTGTCAGCACTCAGTCATGGGGATATTTTGTAAATGTGAGTAAACTGCAGCCACAAGGTTTCAATGGTGACAAGTCATGTTGATAATTTCAACCAATGTTCTGGTCTACATTTGGCTTGAATATTTTACTGCCTACACACATTTCATCTATAACCGCCACATAGATTATGCTATAAACCAACAATGGTCATAAAGAATTCCTGTTTATGTTAACTGTACATTKATATACTGCATTTTATGAATAGTTTTATGAACACAACATTTTCTCCTTCCTTCTTCCTTAAGATCTCCTGTTTACAATKTGTTTCTGTGGCATATTTGTTGTCTAATCAGTACCTTATCAGATAAATCACAGTGTTCTAATTTATAAAAATATATATTTGAAGATGGAACTCATTATGCATCCCAGTCTTCACTATCGTTTGACCTGACAGATGCACCTCTAGAAGCTTTAGGTGGAGGCGGAATCATTGCAGAAATTTTGTCCATTGCAGAACCACCCCCAGTGGATGCATCAGCGCTACCTCCACTACTGGATCCCTCTCCTTTAGATCCTGAAATACCCTTTCTCCGCATAGAAATCTTAGCAAACAGATCTCCCATTAAATCGCCACCAGATGAAGTAGAAATGGCTGCTTGCTCCTTTTCTGCTTTCTTTTTCAATTTGCGTTCCTTTGCACTTCTTAGTTGTGCGCCACTCTTGCCACCAGTTTTCCTGATGGCATCCATCAAGTTTGCTCTACCATCATCAAAAACTGCTGTGGGGACACTWTCTGGAGCACCTCCTGAAGCACCTATTCACATGGAAAATTTGAAAGAAAACATTGACAAAATTTAATTTTGATCCTTTATTGAGGAGGTAATACATATTGATCAGAAGTTTTCAATAGCATAAATATGGCAGCTATCACTTAAAGCCTGACCACAARTATCTGAGGTTCTTGGATGCACATGGACCTTTTTGAAATTAAAATTTCTGAGCTGACCTTGTTATCTAATGCTTAATTAKACAAAGACCTTCAATATTTTATGATAAATATTCTTATAACAAGACACAGGTTAGTTCTTGCTGATGGAAGGAAATCGTAAAATTAARAAATACAGTAATCTCACCTGCTGCTGAAGATGGTGGAGGAGGAGCTGCTGGCACACCTTCAGATGGTGGAGGGGGAGGAGGAGGTGGTGGTGGTGGTGGAGCAGGGGCATCTCCTGGTGGTGGAGGGGGTGGAGGAGGTGGTGGTGGACCATCCATTGTAGGGGGAGGTGGAGGCRCGGATCCTGTGTCAGTAATCTTAGGAGACTCTGTTTCTGGAATTTCAGGCAAGTCTAGTCCTTGCGGAACAGATGGTGCAATAGATGGACCTAACTCAGCACTGAAGCAGTAATAAAAAATGATTATGTCAATATTATTATTAAAGTCAAATAAAAAGGCTTGATGTGTGCTGACTCTTTATCTTCTCTTATATCATGTGCTTGTACATAATTTATTTTTTTAATTCTTTACATTATTTTAGCCCATATTCCATACCTATAGGCCAAATCATCTGCAATACCAGGAAGGTCTGGAAGGTATACTGGCACATCTATTTCTGGTACTGCACCAAGGTTAGGTACATAGAAGTAGTTTGTAGCAGTCATGCGATCAATCTCTTCTCCTTGTGTTATAGATATTGGAGCTGCACCAATACCTTGTTCTTCTTCAATATTACTTCTTGTCTTGGTAACAGCTCCTGAAAGAGGATCTAACATGACATACTTCTTGTAGGGATTCTCTGTGGTGTTGAATAGCAAAAGAGAACTTATCGAATGAAGGTTTTTAGGCAGTGAACCTAATCCTTCTTCTTTATTTCCTTCGTTTCTTTTCTTTGGATCCAGATGTACATTGAAAAACTGAAGTTTTTCCTTCATAATCTGATCATCTACAGCTGTAAACTTAGAATTTAGATGGTAGTTTTGTCGTTTAACCTCTTGAAGTTCATTTTCCGTTGAATATAGAGTCTTGTAAGGCTCAAGCTTGGCCGGAGCTGGATATTTAGCACTTGAAAACACTCTTGTAGCTTTTTTTGTGCCTTTAATTCTGTCAATTTTTGCCTGTGCAAGATCAACTCTTTGATTCAAAGAATTCAATCTTTCCCGATTCTCGCTAACTCGTGAGCTGATTTTCGAAAAGATGTCTTCCGTAATCTTTTCTAGATACTCTAAGGAATCTATGATTTGATGAAGTGATTCTTCTTTGCGCAAACAGGGCAAAATAACGGGSACATTGTAGACTTGTACAGGCATTTTGAAATCTCTACTTCTTCTTGCAATTTCAAGTACAACTTTCTAGGGAGGGGTGAGTAAATATAATTGATAATATAGAATATATTCAATTTTTGAGATGAATTTAGATAATCTTTTTCAATAATGAATCAATATTGTAAATTATTCATTCCAATTTAACATAATTTCAGTATTAAACAATATATTTGCGATGATTTTTTACCATATTCACATATGGATCGAGTAGATTTATTCTCCCCTGCTACCCTCCCATAGTAACAGTCACATGATGAGACCACAGGTAGACCGTGTGACATTCGGAAGTTCATGCATAAAGAAAAGCTACAATGGCGATAACTGGACAGCTGCCGGGTCGTTGAGATTGAAATGATATCTTACAGCCATATTCCAATCGTTTCAAAGCCCGTCAAGACAGGTAGTTGGTATAAATAGCTGTTAGAGATCATGATTTTTATTGGAAAGACGTTTACAATAACAATCTAGTTTTTTCCCATTCTATTTGAGTAATCTTACATATGATTTTCCAGGGATTGATTTTTTTTAATATTCAACCAATTCTGTTTGGAAAAACAAAATGATTTTGTGTGGTTCCCGGGATATATCGTKAATATTGATATCAGATATTTTAGCAGAATAGTGATATATATTAAGGCATGTTTTGGAATTGAAAAATCATGACAGAGATAATTTTGCTTATTGTTATAATAAGCTGAAGATCTTTTTATGTTTCAGCAAAACGTGTTATTTGTGTATCTGAAGAAGCTTGTTAGTGAAATGTCTTATTATCTGCAAGATTTAACTATTTTTTACTTACATGTATCTATTGAGATTAAATTAATAATTTTAGGACCATTACTTTTTTTTAATTCATATGTTATGATAGTTTACACAAATGGATGGAGAAAACATAATAAAGGAGAGCAAGGGCATGGCAGTCATTGATGAAAGTAACGGCATCAATCTTACCAAACCTATTTCTGACAATTTATGTGATGAAAACAATCTTGAAGATATAACAGAGGAGCTTCTTGGGGAAGGAAGACGTAGTCCAGATGGTGTTATTCCAACTCCAATGAAAAATGCCTCACTCTTTTCCAAGTACATTGCAATATGGTGAGCTAAAATAACAAAATTTATTATGTAATCTTAATGAAGAAATTGCTGTCTGGGTTTAGTTAAGCAAGTCTTTCAAATTTCATGCTATGCATCTAACTAAARGCTGGCACCATTCTTAAAAATATGCCAGGTATGCACCAGCAATCATTGCTTTATTTAAGAAATATCAATCAATCAATCATTTTATTTCACATAATATATAAAACGGTGCGCGTGTCTCTGTCCTCTGATATAAACACAGTGGGACTTGAAAAACACGAGAGAAGCAAGCTTAGGAACACGAGCRTAGCGATCTCTCTTGCTTCTTGAGTGTTTTTCAACTCCCACCGTGTTTATATCAGAGGACAGAGACACAAGCAGACGTTTTATATTTCTTTTATAAAATTTTTCGATCGAAAAGCAAATTTTGCCAGTAAGCTGTGTCTCTGTCCTCTGATATATAAACACTGTCGTCAGCCAATCAGAGTGCGCGTTATATGTCAAAAATTTTATAAAGCTTCCTAAATGTATATGATAAAAGACAACACAAAAGAACTTATTCTGTTATAACAGCATGCAACTACAGGTAAAATTTTAGAATACATATTATCCACCTTTGACAGTGATTCTTGCAAGAATGCAATTCATAAAATCAGTCTTCCTATAGGTGGATGAATAGTTTTCTATCGCTTGGAGCCCAGAAGCCATTGGAAGCAAGTGATTTATATGGTTTAATGCCTGATGATCAAACATGTACTCTATGTGAAGCTCTTCAAAGGTAGGTCTATACTGCATACTGCTCAGATGCTTGAACATCCTTGCTGAGTTAATCCTTTGTTTTCCCTGCATTACAGTAGTTTCAAGTATATAGTGTTAATGTGTTACCCTTCCCTTAGAGAAACAGTCATCATCTTTTCATCTGCTTTATCAAGAAAGTTTTGATTATTATAATAAACTAAGTATTAATTGCATTTGTATTTATTTCTAGAGAGTGGGATCTTGAAGTTAAAAACAGCAAGAAGACAAAMAAAAAGCCAAGTCTTTGTAGAGCCTTGGTTAGAGCCTTTGGCAAAGGCTACATGCTTCTTGGACTGCTTGCTTTTGTTTCTGTAAGTATTTATCCCACTTAAATTGTCTCCATGCATATCTCCTTCAAATATGACTTGAGGGATATTCAGTCCTTTGGATGTCTGGATGTCTTCTTGTTCTCGTATTAAGCTGATATATTTCAAGACTCATTACTCAGTCACAGTTTTTCCCTACTTATTTGTTAATTCTAGGATGGCATAAGGATTGCTCAATCAATGTTTCTTGGACAACTTGTTCAATATTTCACTGAGGGTTCTACCATGCCTACAAGAGATGCTTATCTTTATGCTATTGCCATTGGTTTGTGTGGTTTATTAAAAACATTATTCAACGCTCCCTTCTCTTTCTTAAGAAATACTTATGGGATGAGAGTAAGGGTTGCTTGTACCTCACTCATATATGATAAGGCGAGTTTTCTGTTTTAAAAATCAGTAGTTACAAAATATACTCTGATCATTTTGTCAAATAACCAAAATATTTGCTGTTTTTGACAGACATTGAAGCTCAGTAATGCAGCGCTTGCATCAACAACAACTGGTCACATAGTTAACCTGGTTTCAGCAGATACWCAAAAGTTTGACTGGGTATGTTACCAAAGCAATCACAGATTGTATAAATATGTTTGCATGATTATTATTTCTTTTGTTTTGATGATGAAAGTAGTTTTCTTTTGATTAATAACATCACCTTTTCTTTGACAGGCTGCACCATATCTGCACTATCTAGTTCTTGGTCCCCTTGAGGTGGTMATAGTTCTTRTCCTGTTATGGTTCCAAATTGGTGTGTCTGCAATTGCTGGGATCGGTTTGCTAATAGCTATGGCTCCAATGGAGATGAAAATCGGTAATCTACTGATGTCACTAAGGTATTGGACTATTATTATTACTMCATAAAATAAAACAATGCATGCCCATCCCTGTCAATATTATTTTAAAGGTCTTTAATGTCAGTTTGATTTGAATGACATTATTACAGTATACTATGTTTAAGAAATATAAAACGGCACGCGTGTCTCTGTCCTCTGATATAAACACGGCGGGTGTTCCAAAAACACGAGAGAAGCAAGCTTAGGAACACGAGCGTAGCGATCTCTCTTGCTTCTTGAGTGTTTTTCAACTCCCACCGTGTTTATATCAGAGGACAGAGACACAAGCGGACGTTTTATATTTCTTTTATAAAATTTTTCGATCGAAAAGCAAATTTTGCCAGTAAGCTGTGTCTCTGTCCTCTGATATATAAACACGGTCGTCAGCCAATCAGAGCGCACGTTATATATCAAAAAGTTTGTAAATAACAATAGAGTAGTTGAATCAAGGGCATTATACGCTGTGATTGTCGACCACAGAAACTGTAAGTTCAAAATATAGTTGCCCAAGAGCACAATTTGATGGCGACTATGATTTWTTTCAGAAAAATCCAGTTTCCAAGGGCAACTATCATAACAGCAAAATGCCCAAGATTTCAACTGCTGTATTTGTTTTCATATTGATCTACAAAATTTTCTATGTATTGTTAGTAGCCCTCTGTGGTGGGCACTGACTTGTCACATGGTCGACTTTTGAACAGTGAGAGCTGAGGAAAATTTGTTGTTGAATTATAATTTCCATTAGTATAGTGTACCCTAGTGATAAAGATAATTTTTTTTGTTTTAGAACCAAGGCACTCCATTGGGTGGATGAAAGAGTCAAGATATTGAATGAAGTTATAGCTGGAATGAAAGTCATAAAAATGTACACATGGGAAGAATCTTTCTCTGAGTGGATAACCAGAATAAGAAAGTATGAATGCAAATACATAAAGAATTAAAGAATATCATAATAGGGCATAAAGCACAAATTTGATGTCTGTCTATACAGTACACTGTGAAATGAACAAATCAATCAAATACCCCATTGGTGTTTATTGGGAGTAGTATGAATTCACTAGTAAGTAAGAATCACTTTTATTTTTTTGTAAAAGAATGGTTTTTTAATGTTTCCATTTCAGTAATGAACTACTGTGGTTCCTGAAGGTGAACTTGTGTCAAGGAGCATTCTCTGCATTCTTCTTTAGTTCTCTTCCACTCATTTGCTTYTTTTCTTTCTTTACCTTTGTCATGGTTGGGGAGGTTTTAACACCATCCATTGTCTTCACCTGTGTGTCTTTGTTCAGTGCTGTACGACTTGCAATGGCACTCCAATTCCCCATTGCCATCACCCTGATAAATGACTCCAAAGTGTCACTGATACGAATGGAGGTAAGCTGAAGCTGCATTTGTATTGTCTGGTTAACTGGTTAGCAAATAAAAACTTASATAACAAAATGTTGCATCATACAAAATCATGCTTTTCCAGGAACTGTTGCTTCTTGATGARATGCACTCTGAAGGACTTCATATGTCACAGCTTAGACCAAAACCAGAAGACTGTGAGATTAATATAACAAGCATAATAGCATCCTGGAATAAGGTAAGAGATTCCTGTAAATAATCATATGATAACATGTTTGCATGACATGTTGATTGTGTGACAAAGGTGACAATACTAACCTATATTTTTTATCTGTTGTAGAAACTGCCCACTCCTACCCTAGAKGGGATATCATTCAAAGTGTCTGCTGTATGTAATAACTATGTTAAAGCTGCTATGATTTATGCATAATATACAATACCTTTATTTGTAAAGTAAGATAACTGCATCTTGTCATTTGTTGAAAGTTTGCTTTATTCATTGTGACTTCTAATTTCCAGGGAGAATTGTTAGGAGTAGTTGGACCAGTAGGATCAGGAAAGGTACGGAATATTCCTCGATTTATGGATTTATATTTTTCAGTAAAAAGTATATTGCATGGATTCAAAGACACAGACATTCTTTTCCCACAGGATTTGAATTGGGTGGTAATGCATATGGCAATGCATTAGCCGATTAGGTCTATTTCATGTTTCTTTAGCACAAGATCAATTATTATACTTCTTACAGAGGTCTTACAATACACAATATATAAATTCCATTTATTTTAATGCATTCATTTTTCAATGCAGTCATCCCTACTGATGGCCATTCTTGGTGAGCTTCCATTRACATCAGGTTCTATCAATATCAAAGGCAAAGTTGCCTATGCTTCTCAACAAGCTTGGATCTTCAACAGCTCAGTACGTCATAATATCATATTTGGTAAGGATTACGATGAGCATCGATACAATCAAGTGATAAAGGCTTGTGCTTTAGAKTTGGTGAGTTTCTTGACATTAAATTATATGTGCAACAACAATCGATACAAAATTGCATTGATTTGCTTACAGTTACGTTTTAATCTACAGTATGTATGTCTTTTGTCAGATTGTTTGATCAATGATATGGCTGTGGTCATTTGAATATGGCATCCTGACCATGCTTAATTTTGCAATCTTTCTGTCCAGACACATTTGTTTGGTCCAAACTGAGCTCATTATATGAACTCAAATCTTAATGCATATGCATTATATTTCAGACAGTACTACAAGTGCTGCATGCATATACAATGTACTTTGATTAATTGCTATGAATAAGACAGTGTCTTGTGATACTTAACAGGACCTTCAGCTTCTTAGTGATGGAGACCAGACACTTGTTGGAGAACGTGGTGTCTCACTAAGTGGAGGACAGAAAGCAAGATTAGGGCTGGCAAGGTAAATGGTGATTATAAGCGAACATTTGCTTGATATCTTGCTTAAAGAATTCTCTTCTCACCAGGGCTGTGTATTCAGATGCAGATGTATTCATTCTTGATGACCCACTAAGTGCAGTAGATGCCAACGTTGGACGACATCTTTTTGACAAGTAAGAGTTTTTAGTGTAGTGATTTCACACAATACTATTTTGATACTGCCATAACAATGCCACTATAACAATGTCACTATCAAGTTTTGACTATTTATTTGGATAACTGTTTTTTTTTCAAGGTGCATCAATGGATATCTCGCTAAAAAAGCACGCATTCTTGTAACACACCAACTTCAATTTGTGAAGGAAGCGCAAACCATACTTTTCTTAAATAAAGTGAGTTTTTCTTAGCGATGACAACTTGATCTTTAAAAAAAATTGACTACTGATCTCATCAATTTTCCAGGGGAAATGTGAGGCACATGGTAGTTTTGAAGAACTCTCTCGCTCTGACCTGGATTTCATTTCACTCCTAAAAGATGCAAAGAAAGATGAGCAAGACCATGATGGCAGTCAAGCAGATAGTTCAAAGTTTGCCAGGCAAATCAGCAGACAATCAGAGCTTAGTGTATGCTTACGGAGTAATAAACTTGTTGAAAGTAATCTCTCCGTTATGTCTGCAATTACTTCTCCTTCATCACTTCATGTAAGTATATAATATTGCTTCTTCGTCGTCATCAGCTATGTGTGATCTTCTCAGTGAAAATTGTAGACATTACGGTAATGGCAGTTCGCTTATCTTTCTGATATCTAMTAAACTGTCCTGCAAAGAGTTGGARTTTAAATGAAAGAAACGACAGGGAAATGTGGTATGTGTATTCTGTAGGTAAAGRAGTGTTTTTATGTTTTCATTACAGCAGGAAGAAATATTACCCGAAGAAACCAAGCAAGAGGGTGCTGTCAGTGCCAAGACGTACTTAGCGTACTTGCGGTCTTTTCATAATCTAGGCATGGGTCTGTTTGTTTTGTTCCTTTTCGCGGTTTGCCAGGTTAGAATTGCAACTGCTAAAACCTTTTAATGGAGCAGGAAGTCATGACTCATTTCACTTGTTGTGTCAAAGATATTTAAAAACATTTACTGGTATGTAAAAGATTTGGAAAATGAAACATTCCTCTATCAGTTTTTAAGGTGACTCCCTTGACGATAATGATTTAGGTAAACTGTTAAGCATATACACTATTCACGATAAATATTATGTATCATTTTAAATTGTTTATTGAAAAAGTATTCATTATGTTCCAGGTTGTTGCCATGTTGTGTGATTTCTGGTTAGCAGAATGGTAAGCGTTTTTGCAAAGCTTATAAAGATGTTGTGAGKTGCGCAAATCACTGRTGCTCAGTTTGATTGTATTTTCTTGTCAGGTCGACTAAAGAAGAATTGTATCATCTGCAATTACAGGCCTGGAATAGTTCTTCAAACCATTCAACCCCAACCCAACCTGACCGTGATATGTACCTAGGGATYTACGCWGCWCTTGTMTTTGGTTTGCTGATYCTGTGTTTGATTTGTACTGAGTTATATTACGTCATGGCAATTGTAGCTTCAAGGAATCTACATGGCAGAATGTTGGACAGTACAATGAGAGCAACCATGTATTTCTTCGATAATAATTCTATAGGTGAACTTACAAATTACATGCTGACAAGATGTACAAAATAATCCTTAATCTAAACTGATTTCAACTTTGTTATATTAGGGCGAATCTTGAACCGATTTGCTAAAGATATGACTTTTGTAGACGATAACATATCATGGCTGCTTTGTGATTCCTTACAGGTACGAGGTGTCACTTTTCCTGGAAATCATGATCTTTAATACCATTGTAATCATCGTCACTATTGACATTGACGTTACAATTATTACTGTCGTTCTTTGATGACTGACCAGAAACTGTTGTCYTCAATACTTCATTGTCATCGTTATCATCTTCACAGCTCTTATCATTATSATCATCATCATTGCGTTTATCGCTTTTGCTCTCATCATGACAGTTCACTACCAACATAGATTGATACTAGCTATTTAACGAGTTTTAGTATTGTTTTGTTTGATTTTTAGACAGGATTTATGTGTTTGGGTATCATGTTCCTTATTGGTGTCACCATCCCAGTCACTTTAGCCGTTGTGTTTCCTGTTCTTGGTATTTTTGTGTACTATAGAAATTATTTCATGAAATCTTCACGAGAAATTAAGAGAATCGAAGGAATAAGTAAGAAATTTGGAAAATTATTTCTATATTTGAGGTGCTGGTTGTGGATRAGGATGATACGTTTTTTGCTCTCTGTAACAGGTCGTAGTCCACTTTTTGGTCATTTTTCCACCACTCTTCTTGGATTGGATACCATTCGTTCTTTTGGTGCCCAGGAAACATTCAAAGACCAGTTCATGTCCTTTCAAGACTCTCACTCACGTGCATGGTTTTCGTACATCTCTGGTCAAGCCTGGTTGACATTTCGATTGCAAATCCTCTGTGTGTGTTTCCTAACGTTTGTTGCTGTTATTTCTCCAGTTATCAGAGATGGTAAGCTTATGCGGGTATTYATTCATTGACGTTAGTAAGATACGAATGTACATTGGGGTCTTTTATGTGTATCTGGTGGTGAACTGTGTATCATGAATGAAAACAATGCGTTGGGTATCATTTTTTCGAGTTGAAACCTAATCATCATCCACATTACTGGGCCATGTTGTACGTGTTATTTGTCTTAGTTCTAGGTTTGAGCGCAGGCATTGTTGGTCTCAGTCTTACRTACTCCATTATGCTGACTTCAGCTTTTCAACCATTCATTGAAGAGAGCGCTGAAGTTGAAAACATGGTGAGTACTCTCACTTTAAAGGGACACTGTCAATGGATGACATGCGCGGTAACAGTCTCACCTCWAACGGACTTTGAAAGTATTACCTTYGAGGTAAATCATTTTGTGGTGCTTTTGACACACTTTGGAATATTCTAGAYCTGTTTACGTTTACGAGCTGATTTATGTCGCGCCAACTTGGAGTCATAAACTTGAAAACACTAGCYTAATGTYTTCAAGTTTACTCGCGCATGCGTGCCATTGACAGTGTCCCTTTAAGGCCACATACCATGTGGGATGTAAACTGATCGTGAACTGAAMGTGATATGACTCACACCCTAATCCAACTCTAATGGATCCTAAACCRACACCAATCGGACGGCAATGGACGATGGACCATGTAGACGTTTGTGTTTTGGGATAAAARTCATCGCACATTTTCCGCATTGATAGATGCATTTAAAACAAAATAAATTCCGAATGCATTCATATTCTTAGTTGATATTAGAATTGACATACAAGATCTTAAAGAAGTGCAATATTTCGGTTTTATTACAAAAACATCATCAGGCGATAAGTAGAAAGTGCAAAAATATGCTATTTATGATGTAAATATACGCATTAATTAAACAGAGTTACTTCTCATGAGGCATGTAAGCCAGTGTTCAAATGTTTTGTCATTTTAATATAGATGACGTCAGTAGAACGTATTGAGGAGTATTGTCACCTTGAGTCTGAAGGGSCGTCAGTAACTGACRTCAAACCATCTAAGGACTGGCCAAGTCAAGGACGAATTGAGTTCACTGATATGAGTTTTGCTTATCACAAAACACTACCAACTGTGCTGCGTCATATTTCCTGTGTAATAAAATGCAAAGAAAAGGTAATGTTATTATAATGTATTTGTCACATGACAGTCACGTGATAATAAAGTGAGAATCACGTGACACTCATTTAAAAATCACAAGACCATAATAGACCTCTGCAGCTTTTACGTCATGTACCGTATACGCAATGCATTGTAGGACATGTTTGGGAAAAAACATGGCGGATTTCTTTTGTTTTCTCTTGAAACTGATCCCACAATGCATTGAAAATCAAGTAGTGACGTAAAAGGTTCAGAAGTCTATTGTCCTTGTAGTGTCCTTGTATCACACGGGTCATGCAGTGATTACGTGCTTGTCCATGCATTAATCTTGGTTGCCTTTTTTGCTTCATAGATCGGCGTRGTTGGTAGGACKGGTGCCGGAAAATCATCGTTATTGTCCACATTGTTYCGCTTAGCTGAGCCCAAAGGTGTCATTTCAATAGATGGCGTCGACATACGGGATATTGGTTTGAAGGATTTGAGAAGTAAACTCTCTATAATACCACAGGTATCCCATGCTAGCCCTAGAGAGAGTTACGTTTAAACCTGTATATGAAACAACATATTTCTCTTATTTTAGGAACCTGTTCTGTTTAGTGGGACAATGCGCAAAAACCTCGATCCATTTAACAATTACGATGACGTAGAATTATGGAGCGTTTTAGAAGAGGTAAAGACCAGAAAACAGCTCTAGCTACMTGGGAAGATTGARTTTCCGAAAAAGTAATATTTTACCAGCCTTCGTATTCAATGTTTCCCAACAGGTTCATCTCAAGAAAGCGGTGGAAGAACTGCCTCAAAAACTCGACGAAGAACTTGCCGAGTCTGGATCAAATTTTAGTGTTGGGCAGCGGCAATTAGTCTGTTTAGCGCGCGCCATTTTGAGACACTCGCGCATTTTAGTCATCGATGAAGCAACTGCGAACGTGGATCCCCAGTAAGTTATCTTGATTATAAAATGCTCTTTATAACAATCTTTAAAGTTGAAATAAGTTCGGAATCTGCTTAAGGGCATGGAAATCAGTTCAAACTGACTTCACTCTATTGTAAATTAGAATATRAAAATTTTTCTAAACGTCTTTCACTTTTTTCTTTCAGAACAGATTCATTTATCCAACAAACAATAAGAGAGAAATTCAAAGAGTGCACTGTACTGACTATCGCTCATCGTCTTCATACCATAGTGGACTCGGACCGTGTTATGGTAAGGTTCTCATTTGAGGTGAAGATCATGAAACAAATCATGCCGGCGCTTTTCATGTAATAATCCCATAATTCTTTTGACATAATGATAAACTCACGACTCATGACGTCACCAACTATGAATGCATGAATAAACGAATGAAAGAATAAATGAAAGAAGAGAAACGATGAACCCAAGGTACGAATTGCCTAACTTATACGAAAGAAATAATGAAAAGCAATATGAATGACTGGACTATTTGACGTGACGTACATTTAGTCAACTGTATTTTTGTGCAGTTAAATATAGAGTTAGTTGCAAAGGTACTTATATATATATATACGCAGTATACAGTTATAATAGTTAAAACCCATCTATGTTATTTTTAGGTTCTCGACGCAGGGCGTCTTAAAGAGTTCGATGCGCCATACATCCTTCTACAAAACCATAGCAGCATATTTAGCCAGTTAGTCGAGAACACAGGGCCAACAGAGGCCAAGCGTCTACATGACTTAGCAAAGGAAGCGTACACTGACAATACTAAGACCATACACGAGGCAGAAGATGAGGGTCAAAACTTTGATRTAACTCAAGAGAACGATGATGTAACAGTAGTCGTACCGAACGCCGATAATCCAGGAACAAAATTAATATCAGCATAAGAGGGTTTTTATACAAGAAATATATATTCCACGTAGATTGAGTTTATTACTGAAATATGTTCGACTACCAGGTAGTCTACATCTGTTGTGTTAGCTATTGTCATTAGAGCCCACCCCTAGAGATATATATATTCGAATTTTTACTCCAYTTTCTCTTTTATTTCGTTTATTTTTTGATAAAAAATACCCGCTATTTATGTTAGTTTTAAGTGTACTTTTTATATATTTATTATATATATTTGGGGCGTTTGAGGTGTCGGGCGTCATAGGGTGCAAATTCCTTCCTTCCTGGAAGAGGTCTTATTCCATGATGCCTGAAACACTAACTCAAACCACACCCGCCTGTATTGATATTATCAAAGGAAAAATTGTCACTTTTAATGCCAAGATGTTTTGTGTAGGATAACTTATTACCATGGATTGTAAAGAATGGTCATTAAATTCAACTGGTTCATTGTGACTGAATTGTTCTCGTGTTTGCTCCTGGTGTTACTTTATTCCTGCGTCCCCCACCCACTCCCTCCCCCTTAAATCGCGCATATTAATGCTATACCGGTTGATTTTATTCTACTATTTTACGCCGTAGGTTGTACAAGTTTTTTTTGCGAGTTTRATCTTTCATTCCACTAAAAAAAATGTAGAAAGAAGCATATCCCCAGACTGGCCATCATCTCAAAAGCATAAAAATCTTTGTTTCCTGAGCTGAAAACATCGCTCATTAAAATAACGCCAGTGATTCCTAAACCCTTGYGAGTAGCGTTTGTGGAGGTCTTCCTGCAGGCAAATAAGGGCGGGTATGGCTCCGGCTATATGACGATATATATGCGAAGATACTTCTGATGCTTTTTTAAAGAATCTACATGATCTATTATGGATGATGATATGAATTAAACAAAAAAAAAGAAAGAAAAAAATGAAAGAAAATGTGAGAAAAAGAACACGTCGGTGATGGGATTCGAACCCYTAACCATAAAATCGAAAAAAGATTGGGACGATTCCCCCGAGACATTCTGTGAAGCTGAGGCGKCGAATCGATTTACATTCCGGTTAGAGATTTCGGCTCTTCCATGCTAYCCCGATAATTGATCCTAACTTCGYGCTAACTAAAAAGCCAGTGAGGGAGAAGCTATCCGGCCCCTAGACACTGATGGATAACCYCTTGCACTAACTAGGCAACTATCGAAAATATAATGTCAAATTGGGGTAGTCTATTCGGTGAAAGTGTCAAGAGGTCTATTATTATGTAAATGAGTATGGTACTCTGGCAAACACGGTTAAGGCGCTGACCTGCCGTTCCAAAGGTCTCGGGGTCGACTGACATTTAGGTCAGGCACATGATCTACTTTATATTATATATATTTCCAATACCAACTATTTCTTATTAAACAATTTTTCTTCTTTTTTTTTTCAAAATCATTTTATTCATTCTATTTAATTTTTTAAACATTTCTTTACAATTGATAATTATTTGTGCTTTTTGTCACGTGACGCCGAGACTGGCAGCTTAGTCTGCATTGCTGGTGGTCTGCGGTTTTAGTTGGGTTGTATAGAGTGACATATAGAGTGACTCTCTATGTGTGTGTCGTGACGGAAAGACATGASCAACAAAACTGACAGGGAAAATTTTGATAGTTGGAAAAAATATTGGCAAGCAAATGGTGACCAAGTACCATGGCAGGTCACTGGACCACATAAAGGGCTTGTAAACAACATCACAGCTTTAACAGATAACAAACCAAATCGACACGTTCTCGTTCCACTTTGTKGAACATCAGATGACTTGATATGGCTTGCAGACCAAGGACACACAGTTGTCGGYGTAGAAATAGTCCGAGATGCCATTAAAATCTTCTTTGACAAGAATAAACTAGAATACGAAGTGTCTGCCATCAACATCGCTCCTTCTGGTGCCTACATTTACAAAGCCAAAGATAAAAATATCTCGATCGTCGAGGTGAACATTTTTAACTTTCAGAANTCGATTGCTGGAGATTTTGATGCAGTGTGGGATAGAAGTGCCCTCTTCGCAGTTACAGGAGCTACTAATTCTAACGAGGAGGAGGTACAACTTGGTATGAAGTACCTCCAGGTACTCAAAAATGTCCTTAAACCTGACGGGAGGGTTTTGATGGAGACGATTCTTTTTGACGAAGACGAAGCAACTAAAGCCGGTGGTTTGGGTCCTCACCTGCTTTCTGATGACCAGTTAAAATCAATATGTGGTCAAAGCTGGACTATGGAAAAGGTTGACTTAATTTCTATTAATGCTGGCGAAAAATTTCAGAGAAAAGTATTTGACTATGACATTCATATATGCGTGCATCTCTTGATTCCAAGCAAGAATAATCAAAAGTTTTAAAAGTGATGGCAATTAAATATTGAAAACATTTTGTGTTGATGTTTTTGTACCTAGTAATCTTTTCCAAGTTTATTGGTACATTTCAAAACGAGTCAAATAAAAAGAAACTAAAAACTAAATTGAAATTTTTGTCTTGTCTTRGTCACGGTCCCCCCTCCCCTCCCCCTGTTTTTCTGCTCTACTGGTCAGCGGGGCGATCAGTTCAAAAACAAAATTTTGAAAGGTGATACTTTATTGCAAGGCAATGGCGCTTTAGGGCATAAATAGGATGAAGAAATGGTGTTTAATCCAACGTAAAGCTTGGATATATCTATAAGAAAGAACCTAAGCCATAGATGTGTTTTTTCTACGTATCGTTCATCCAAAAGCGATAGTGATGGATGTAGAAGAAACACGTGATCAAGGCAATACTTCATCGTTGCAAAGTTGGTCGATTTAGTCGAAAACCTTGGCAGAATGGAGTCATTTGTAGACGACGAGCTATCAGAAAAAGCTTTGAAATATTACTGGAACCAGTTCATAACAACTGCACATCATGCGGTGAGGATATTTGCATGTGTTCTTGCAAGTCATGCAAGTTTTTGAATGTGTTCGCTTAGTTAGGGATTTATCGAAGCTCGGTGTTTTRTAATTATATGTTTGCAGTTTCTCAAAGGTTCGCCCGTTTTACTCTTTAACCATATATTTGTTGTTTCATTGGATGTTCATTTAAGAAAAATGTTCTTGCAACACAATTGTTCTTCTTATGAAAAAATGTACCTAATTGTTCCTACTTTTTTCTTTTTTCAAGGAAAAATCAAGGTACCTCGATGCATTTCTTGAAGAGTTTCTTAAAATKTACTCCCTGGTTAGAGGAAATGTCAGCAAAATGCCTGTATTTGGGTAAGAATTGTATTGTCATACACATAACACCTTGGGCTAAGGATTGGTAATATTTGAATTGATTGATATGTCCCTTGCCTGAGATATCAAAAAACCTTCGTCTTGGAGACAAAATAAAAGAGTTTTCTTGGAAAGTAGAACCTGTTGTTTTGTCCCCAAGATTGAGCTGTAATCCCATRACTGTAAAAGGTCTTTTCAGTTTTCTCACAAAAAAGGTGAAAATATACCATTGTACTCCCTGATTTCCTTTAAAGATAGTTTTTATGATTGGCTTTTTATCAGAATAGAAAKGACTACTCATTTCTCTCCAGGTATAGAATACTGGAATCTCAGCAAATYAAATGCATGTTGGCCTTGTAACTCAGGCAGCCCAAGCAATAATATTTTCTTTGTTAAAATTATCAATTATGCACATCAAGAGCCTGTGTTATTGTCTGGAAGCAGTGTCTAACATGCTCAGATTTAACCATAATCCACAGGACGTTATTGTTTGTAAGGTTCATAGAAAGCTGTTGATGAATAAACTGAGAGTGGGACATTTTGCCAACAGGCAGGCCTGGATCAGATTCCCAGACTGGACGATAATGTTACTAGAGAGTTTAAGCATCACATTTATGGTAAACAGCTAACGGCAGAGCTGAACCAGTGACCTACAAATTTCGTGCCTGACCTCGTGCTTTTGGAAGTCATTTGAAAGAGCAACTTTTCACGATTATTTGGCAACCCCAAAATAACCCGATCTCGCATTGAAACTGTAATGGTAAACCCCTAAAAAGCAGGTCACATGATCTTTTCTGCCATTTGCCATTTGGCGTGAATGTCATGCTTAAGCTCTCTACTCTTTTGGTACACTTTACCTATCTCTCTCAATGATAACGATTTACATTATAATACTTAATAACCTGATAAATACTGTCAAATGTGTTATCATGCAAAGACAGAAGCAAAAAAGAAAAAAACAAAATGGAAAACAAAAGAAATAAATAAAATGAAAACATACACTGGAATGTATCATTTTTTATAGTTTTTAAGTATTATTATATTTAGTATTATTAGTACAATTTTTAATTCAAAGTATAATGTATTGTTAGGGATTTACACAGCGTCAGTAACATGCTYGCAAGAGAGTTTCAAACCATCATTCTAGCCAAGTGTACTAGTGAGGAAGATGACCAAGAACAAAGCCTGGTGGGATACCTGTGTCATGGATCTGGCTTGATGCTTTTGGAAGTTCTTTGTATTCTTGCATATAAAGTAAGAAAACTTTCACAATATAATTACACTTAATCAGTTCTGAAATTATTATTATAATTCTGAAATAAACTAGTCTAATTTACTATTGAGTCTATTTTTCTGCATATTTTCCCGCTCTATTGATAGAAAATGTGGGGTTTGTCTTGTTTGTTCAATTTYTTTCACATTTTTGGAATCAAAAGRTGCACACATAGTTCCACATCACGTGGCAATGTGAGCCCTTGAAATTCTTCACCAGCTTTAACAGGAACCAAGTCAATCCYCTCCTCCCTCCAGGTATTACCACACATGGCTTTCAACTGGTCATCAGAAAGCATATGAGGACCAGAGGGACTGTCTCCTTCTGTTGTGTCAAAAAGAATCGTCTCCATCAAAACYCTCCCGTCAGGTTTAAGAACATCTTTGAGTACTTTAAGATACTTCATTCCAAGCTGTACTTCCTCGTCTCCAGAAGTGCCTAAAAGAACTGCAATAAGTGCTCCTCTRTCCCAGACTGCATCAAAATCTCCAGCAATCGACTTCTGAAAGTTAAAAATGTTCACCTCGACGATCGAGATATTTTTATCTTTGGCCTTGTAAATGTAGGCACCAGAAGGAGCGATGTTGATGGCAGACACTTCGTATTCTAGTTTATTCTTGTCAAAGAAGATTTTAATGGCATCTCGGACTATTTCTACACCGACAACTGTGTGTCCTTGGTCTGCAAGCCATATCAAGTCATCTGATGYTCCACAAAGTGGAACGAGAACRTGTCGATTTGGTTTGTTATCTGTTAAAGCTGTGATGTTGTTWACAAGSCCWYTRTKYGGTCCAGTRACCTGCCAAGGTACTTGGTCACCCATTGCTTGCCAATCCTGACCCCATTGCTCGATCACTTCTTTATCAGGTTTTGAAGCCTTTGCGGAGCTCATGTTCACCTWTTTCACGCACAATCGTGCAGCACGCGATCCCTGGCTCATGTGATAAGCACAGGAATCCCAAGTAGAAAAGTATTCCAKCAGTGCATACTGTGGGCCGCTCCGGGCCGCTAGCGATTATTTAGCACYCAGTAAAGTACTATATTTTTATTTCAAACTAAAAAACAATGGTTTGATGTTGTAGGCGTCATTTTTTCAGTAGTACCTATCAGTGAATTTACGGGATTCCTGACCTAAGTCTATCCTATACTGTGATCCGTGACACATTTCACASATGCGTGACTTATGAAATTAGTATAAAGTTCTTTCAATAAAATCTAGTAATTAGTTCATGACGAGTATTTGTCTTGTTTATATATGTAATTTAACTCTATATTTGTTGTTCTTTTTGACTAATTAGTACTAATTGTTCATGGAATAACTTTTACTGACAGTTAGACACTGTCAGTAACTAAGCAGAGTTTGGCGTCAATATCGTGAAACACATATCTATTTTATAAGAAAAACTAAATGCCATGAACTTCTCATTAGCTTCTACAGTGAAGCCATCTACTTTCTTTATACTCCAGTTGTTACTACAAACGGCTTGCAAACTTTCATCGGTAAGCAAGGATGGTTTGGGACCAGCTGCTTTTYCGCTTGACTTTGGATCAAAAAGCCATGTCTCAAGCAATACTTTACCATCTTGTTTGAGCACATCTTTGACAACTTGGAGGTATTCTTTAGCGGTTTCAACACCTTTTCCACCAGCCAWCTCATTCATGACGGCAAGAAGAGCTCCTCTATCCCATACTGCATCAAAATCTCCAGCAATCGACTTTGTAAAGTGCCAAAAGTCGACCTCGACGATCGAGATATTTTTATCTTTGGCCTTGTAAATGTAGGCACCAGAAGGAGCGATGTTGATGGCAGACACTTCGTATTCTAGTTTATTCTTGTCAAAGAAGATTTTAATGGCATCTCGGACTATTTCTACACCGACAACTGTGTGTCCTTGGTCTGCAAGCCATATCAAGTCATCTGATGTTCCACAAAGTGGAACGAGAACGTGTCGATTTGGTTTGTTATCTGTTAAAGCTGTGATGTTGTTTACAAGCCCTTTATGTGGTCCAGTGATTTGCCACGGTACTTGGTCGCCCCTTTCGCTCCAAAGTTTTTGCCAAACTTGGTTTTTGTCGGCACTTTTGTTTCCATTGTCTGAATATTGTTCGTAACTCATTTTTGGATCAACAAAGCAATTGCGAAAACCACTTCCTCGATCCCTGTCCTAATCGAACAAAGGAAGCCCAGCATATCAAAGTGAACGCGGGAATAGGCGATTTGCATGATGGTTTGCATAATTTCCTTTGTAAATAAGTCCCACTTGTTTTACTAATCTCAAAAAGAAATTAGAAATCTGAATAACAAAGAAAATGAGCAACTAGTCACAACTAGCTGGAGTGAAGTTACGCCATTATGCAAATGACCTATTTCCGAGATTCCACTAATATTTTTAAAGCTGTTAATTTTATTATTTGTRTAATTGTTATTTGTAATAATTGTTTCCTTTCAACATCAGAATTATCTTCTTTATTACCAGATCGCTGGTTGCAGCAGTGAGCTTGCTAATCTGATCGTCACTCTACTGGCAGTCATTTTACAAGTCCCTTCGCACGAGTACGACTCACTTCAAGGTAAAGATATAGAGGATATTACATGGGCGCGCGGAGATACGGATTTTATCTTCGAGTGTTGAAAAGATCTCTCACGAGTGAGCGCAGCGAACGAGTGAGAGATTTTCAACACGAGAAGATAAAATTCGTATCTCCAAGCGACCATGTAATATTCTRTTTATCATATAATTGGATATGAACGCAAATTATGTSGTAAAATASCTTTTTTCTTACTTCCACYATAKAGAGAAACCTCGAATATGATCTTTTCACTAGTGAAAATATCAATTTTACGTAACGGAGAAATATAGGTATTTCATAGATAATTATATGATAAAACAATATATACAATTTATAATAATGACGGCAATGTACACAAACTTATACACAACAACAATAGGAACAGCATGAACTATCAATATACATAACACTAAATATACTAAAAACGACTCTGTATCGTTGTCCTAACTTCGTCTCAAGGGAGACTGACAAATTAGACCTTAGATAGAATACACGCGAGAGTTTCGTGTTGTGCTTTTTTACTCCGGACTCACAGAAAGAATGCACCCTTGCGGGATCGTATTACAAAGTCACGCAATTACATAATTAACTGGGATATTGACAACGACTCGACACAAAAACAACAGCTACTACTACTAGAACCAACAACAACAACAACAAGTAGAATCGACAACAATAGCCATATAAACATCGCCAATGAAAACAATCACATCACTTTGACAACGACCCTGACAGCGGTAAAACCATGAAACAGGCACTATAAACTAAAACTACAATATAAACGATAATAGAGCGGATTTAGTATGACTGTGCAAAAAAAACACGGTACGTTGGTGCTGTGTCCGTACCGTGCCGTAGCCGTGATGCATTGAAAATCTTTCATTTGAAATCCTAGAAGGCGAGGTTCCGTGACCATGCCGTGCCGTGTCCGTGTTGTGATCCGTGCTTTTGCACAGTCATACGAAATCCGCTCTATATGCGGTTTTAACATTGATTATTTAAATTTCTAATTCCAGTATTCGAGATGATTAAGCTCGACTATGACAACTACTTCCAGGACCCCAAATGTAAACCTCATCACTCCACAGTTGTGCAGGAAATGATATTGAAGCATTGCGAACACCTTGTAATGAATAGCAAGCAAACGTTTAACATTGAGCCGGAAAACGTACTTGACAAGAACCAAGAGTCCACGTTAACTGTACCGTCACAAGACCACACCGACTCGTCCAGTGCGACAGAAGAAAGTGATATTCTTACAAGCATCAGTAGTATAGGAAGCATAGGTTTGCACAGCTCGAACGAAGAAACCGCATTAGAACTGCACCGACAAAGTAGTGGAATATCAAGCCTTCTTGAAAGTACTGACATCCTGACACACATTGATCAAGGGACACTATTCAAGCATGAGACACTATCAAACCAAGAGACRCCCACTGAACCAGASATAGTTGTCAGTAATGACACATCTACCAAMTGTGAAGATGTTTCCATCAATAGTTTTGACTTGTTATTGTTAATGTTAACAGTACTTGAAAACCTTTGTTGCCGGGAGTCATCAAGTTATGATACATCATTGACCGTGAAGACATCTGGACAATTGATTGACTTGATAGCTTGTTTGAATGGAGAAAACAAACAAGAGCAAGACTTAGAAGTGTTATGGGACCTGGTGTCTACCATCTCTGCTCGTTTATTCCTCTTACGAACCGTCTATTTCTTCATGTATGCCACATTTAGAAATCCAAAGTCAGCTAAACAACTGGTTAAAAGCTCTTACGTGAAGAAGCTTGTTGAGTTTGTTGAAAATGAGATTCAGTCTGCCGCTTTGACTGCAGAGCAGGCTGTAGATCTGATTAACGAGATGCCACCAGCAAAGGACTCGAGTCTCTGGCAAACGTTTCATCACGTCYTTTTCGTTTCCCTGGCATTCCGAGGTCTTGTGGTGTTTATATCTTCGTGTGTTCAGTTTGGAAGTTTAATCAATTCTTCTTTGCTTGCGTTATCTCGTGAATTACTGGAACAATTTAATAATAGCGGTGGTTTTAACCACTTAGCGACCATTGCTTTAAAGTATGAAGAACTTCAAGTAGCACTACACTCAGAAAGACTCCCTGACAACGATATTTCCATTGTAGCAATGGTCATAAAAACACTTCCTAAAGACACCACTCTACATGTCCTCAGTCTCGCAGGCAAAGTGATTTCACTGTTGAAGAGAGGCAAACTTCACTGTAGAAGTGAAACGAACAGTACAACCCATCGAAAATCTATTGATTCTTACATTCAGTTCCAGCCTCCAAGCGACTTGATGACATCTGACGTCGATGAAAGCTCAGAGTCTGCTGGTGACATGGAGAATGAAAACGAGAAACGAAGTCAGAACATCGGTAACCAAATCATCCATTGATTTGTATTGACAGTGATAGATTGAATGTGCGCGTAACTAGTGATGCGATGTGAGTGAGAGATTGGGAGTGATACATTGCGTATGATGCATTGCGAGTAATGCGGCAATACGAGTAATGCGTTACGTGTGACGTGTTGTGCGTGTGACGCAATGCAAATGCTGCATCGTGTGCGATGCATTGCAAGTAATGGATTGAGTGTTAATAAGGACGTTTTGTCTATGACTAGAATGCGTCTTATTGTCTTTCTTTCGTCTTTACAGTGGATCAATGCCAAATCCTTCATACAGTAATAACCACATTGAACATCTTCAAAAACAGTCAAACCCAGTACCTTTCGTCGTCCATTCTGTCTTGCTTGGCTAAGGTTGGTATATGTGGTTGTATACAGCCRGATGATCTAGTGACTCCATTACTGACAAGGTAATAATGTCAAACACTCATTGTTCTTTCGTGTAATTTAGCGCTAAGTGTTGTCTTGCTATTACGAATATTCGTTTTTATGTTTTTTTGTACTTAGTAACGATAGCCATTGTTTTAGCATATCATTTCAAATGAGATACATGCTCTTAAGTTTTGTGATTTGTTCACCTCATTCTAGAGTATCAAATGTTTATTCATCATATTCACTCCTGTAATTGTTCTTTACAGGTTCTTACTTCAACCACGTCCATTACAAACACAAATACTTCAACTCATCAATCAACTGGTAATCGCATCATTAGACAACACCATCCTTTCCAAAGGTACCCAAGAACAATACACAACAAGGCCAAGATCGAAGAGTAAAAGATTGTACTCAAAGTCTCCCAAGGGCGGTAGTGTATCCAAGAGGTCTAGTGTATTGTCTGACAATGAAATACTCTCTTTTTCACCACATCTACCYAAAAGACATCAARAAGACGATCACTGGTCTTGTTTGTCTCAGTACTGTACCTTTCTTACTACTGGTGATCAATGGCTGGCTTTAGAAACAGCAAAGTCAATGAAAACACTTGTGTTATTAGGATCGAGTAGCTTAAAGAACGAATTATTTCGAGTTGTTCTCCTTCCTTCTCTCTTTCGTTTTGATTTGCACAGAAATTCGAGTAAAAGCGAGGATTCTACAAGCACTCCTACAAACACGTCTTCGCAATCTTCCCTGCCTGGTTTCTATAGAGACCGTTCKCAAACTCTCCGACCTTCAAGTGCTATTGTAAATCAAGAAGTACTGAAGGTTTTACTTGGATATTTGCCTTCTCTTCTTGTAAGTCACTCCTCGAGGTCGCTTTTCTTCGACTGTGGAGGTCTGAGTGAGCTTCAGGTTTTTCTGGATGTTGTTGAACTCCAAGAGTTAGTTGTAGGAGTTTTCGAGTTTCTCGCCTCGTTAGAGGACTGTGCAAGTGACAGTCCACTCAAAGACACTCAGGAAAACCACGATGGTCAAATGAATCAAGAAGGTACAAGCGCTGTAAGGACYTTTCTTACTTTGTTGAGATATACAGCTAATGTTGACTTGTTCACTAAATCGTCGAATAGTGATGCACCAGAATTAAGTGACCAAGAAAAATGTCCTGAGATGGTTCAGGTGGACGAATCTGTGGAATCTTCACAACAAGAACACACCCTAAACAATCTGTCTTTGTGTTTGCACGTATGGAAGGCATGTTTAAACCTACTCGTGTCCAATAAAGTTTTTGTTGAGTCTTTTATTGCTGACCGAGGCCCAGTGTATAGTATTGACTTATTTAAGTGGATGATAAACTACTTCAGCTGTTCTGTTTCGAAAAATGAAGAAGTTCTTAGCGAAACTGTGGCATTATTTGAAGTTATCCTTGCTGTATGTATTAGAGTATCATACGCTGGTCTTACGCAAGACTTCAAGGTAAGTACGTACCGTTTACGCTGTTAAAAGAAATTTACGTAAAGGTTATGCATGTCAAAGTTTGCCGAATATTGCCATTACCTCGACACAAAACAGTGCATTTTCGTCATCATCCGAGTAATGCTATCATATTGCAGGGTGTGCCTGGAATMCAGTCCATTCTGCGCGACGCCGAGCAAGTCGTGATTCATTCAGATATTTTGAAGGACATGTTCGGGCGAGGCCTTTGTGACTCATTCACCAAAGCTGCTGTTAAAAGGCTCTACTTAACGTCATATCCTAATCAACAAGATAACAGTGATGTCCTAGAGAAAGAGTTGATATCAATGAATCCCGAGGGGGAGCTGGCACAGTTGATYTTTGATGATGATCTTGATACTCCTGCTCATCCTAAGAARTCTGTAGAAGATGGATATGAAGCTGATAATGAAGTCAATACAGACAGTAGTGATGACTCAGACGCTAAGACTATCAGACAGGTAAAACTATTATCTTTATATGGTTCCTTGATAACTAGTGAACGTGTTTTATTGCTCATTTTGCAGACAACTGTACCCAAGAAGACTTCACGTGAGGCGCGTCAAAATTCAGAGAAAAGTACGATTGACTTYCATGGACTTGTTGGATATCCACAAGTTTGTCATTTCTTGTTTACRCTGCTGGAGGCTGCATATGGTGGAGAACCGTGCAAGACAACCAGGTGACATAGATACGACATGCATCAGACTCAATTGATCTCGTGATTATTATTATGTCGATGTTTTTTTCTATGGACATCTTGTATATGATCGCTGTGCGTATCTGATCTATGCTTGTTTGACCAAATTTTGTATTTGACCAAATATGGTATTTGAACAATATATATTATTTGACCAAATATGGCATTTTACCAAATATGGAATTTGACTAAATATGGTATTTGACCTGACTAACTATGCCTGATGTGCTTAGTACATTTTATGTTTGATTAGTAGTATAGGAATGCCGATTCTAACACAAAAGAATTTTGTGGAGCCGTGGAGCTATGACGTCATATCTATTTTTAGAAACTTGCGGTTATGACATCATATCTATTTTTAGAAACTTGCGGTTATGACATCATATCTATTTTTAGAAAGTGACGTTTTCGATGACGTCATAGTTCAATGAGATGGTGACGTCATATCAATGTTTATATATTCAGAAAAGTTTTAGTAGCACTTTCAAGCTTGATAGCTATAGCGATCCAGAGGTACTCGATGGAGACAACAAGATCAAGCGGGACCACTTTCTAGATTTTTTAGCGGAAGTGGATGGAAATTATTACTAATTTTAATTAGTAATAATTAAAAAAAAATACAAATGAAACATTGTTGATGAAATTTATGTCTTGAAGGGCACTTTTTCAAACTAGATGTCTGTACTGAGACTTAAGATTTGTAATTCTTTATTGATTGATCAACACTTCCTTTTGTTTAGATAGTTGTAAGTTATTTTACAAACAATTTTAAGTTTTTCTTATGAAGCCTACCTGTTGATTGCACGCAAATTATTATCTATTTTTAGTTTTCAYCTCTAGAGATTTCGTTTCACGCTAATTACTTGCGTTTTACCACAACGCTTATTTTGAGAGATCATTAAATTCTAGTTTTAGAATGATTTTGAAGTGGTCTTCTTTTGAACTATTGTTAACGTTTTTATGTAAAATTAGCTTTGATTCATGCAATGCATCGAGAAGATATTCTTGCTTTTTTTTTCTAGCGCCATTGCATCAACATTATTTTTTTCACACTAAACACAATTTATTTTGTTTATTTTGGCTAACGCTGTAAAGCAAAATCTTGACACGCGAGTTATTGTTTYCAAAGATGGTCACCTGTTAATTTATGTATTGGAACTCYGATCTATGCAAATCAGTGATGGCAATGCGTCTCAAAATGATGACTTTATTAGTTCCGATGGAATGATGACAAAGTCAATAACACAATAAACGGACAAGATTTTCTGGTTGAAAACTCTTTTATTTAATTCAAACGAGGGGATTTTTTCAATTTATTCTGCCTTTTCTTGATCCGTATTATCAACATTGTCAATGAGTTTCAACTTTTTCGATTTTAACGACAGTTTGTGAACGGCATCACATTCTTGACAGCGCATAAATTTGGCTTTCGTAGTATGAGAATCCACTGGAAAGATGTGATAACAAATATCGCATTCAATCAGTCGATTATCACGACAGTAATATCCTTCACGCCATAAACATTTAGGGCATTGTACGACAGGTATTGTGTAGAACGGTTTGAAGTCGCTACAAACGTGACACTCTTCAACTTCATCGTCTGAACCGCTGTCACTCGATTCGGGGCTTGTTGGTAGCTCATTTTTTTCTTGTTCGCTTTCTTTTTCTTCCTCCTCCTCACTGTCACTTTCTTGGATTTCAGACGAGTCACTGGTTTGACTGTCTGACAAGTCGCTTTCCTCTTCATCGGGTTGCCTAGCAACGAGGTCTGCTAAWGTTCTTTTGTTTCCAATAAGTTTTTTGTCAATTCCAACTTCCACAAGTCCTTTRATGAACGTGTTCAGACCTCTTGGTGCTTTAATATCGAGGCTGTATGGTAATATAGCATACTCAATGAGCTCTGCTATGTTAGTGACAGGAATTCTTCGTTGATGATACATCATTTCACCATGACTATTCCAGTACAATATATTTTTGGAGGAGGCTAAAGTATGAAGAAAATCAAGAGCTTTTTTTCTTGGTATCTCGGGAGAAATATCTTGCAAAATGTCTTCAATATCGTCATCCTCAAAAATGTCACTGTCAGTGTCTGAAGCAACGCTCTCTTCAGAATCGCTCCGCGAACGCTTCATCTTGCTCCCTCTGAGTGCTAACCTTGAAATGACGTATCTTCTTTATTGCTG